TTATCATACCTCGCCTTAAAACTATGTATGGTTCCCGCCTCCACTACTTCACTTTCCAGGCTATTCCACGGCTTGACTACTCTATGACTGAAGAAATACTTCCTAACATCCCTTTGATTCATCTGAGTCTTCAACTTCCAATTGTGACCTCTTGTGTCTGTGTCCCATCTCTGGAACATCCCGTCTTTGTCCACCTCGTCTATTCCGCGCAGTATTTTATATGTCGTTATCATGTCTCCCCTGACCCTCCTGGCCTCCAGTGTCGTCAGGCAGTGTGTGTGTGTGTGTGTGTGTGTGTGTGTGTGTGTGTGTGTGTGTGTGTAGAAGGGGTAATGAGTGGTGGTAGCGGGTGGTGCTGGCTGTGGTAGCAGTGGATGGTTGGGTTAAGTTAGGTTAGGTTACGTTACGTTATGTTAGGTTACGTTAGGTGGTCGCTGGTGTCCAGAGGTTTACCATGACCTACCTCACCTGTATTAAATGCGAATTAGGTGACGACCAGGTCCAGTCGTGCAGGACCTGGTCGTACGGCCCTATGCTGTACATTCTACAAGACTGATGAACTGAACACATCGACTCCAGGCTGAAGGATTGATTACCTCAAACTCTTCCTCTCCTTACACTTTTCTGCTTTGTATTGGACTGATGAAGCCACTGTGTGGCGAAACGTTTCCTCAATAAACATTCCCATATGTTGCATAATTGTCTCAATCTCCAGCTTATCGTTTTTTTAAACCATTTATCACATCAGTCATGCTGGTTTATTTCTCCCTTCCCATCCCACAAGCATACTCTCTATCTCTTGTTGTTTCCCTGTTATACAGGAGCACAGGAACTTACCACCACCTGCTCGGCAACTTGAACTTACAAAAGAAGGGAAACTAAACGCCTAACGAGATTCTTACATATATAAATAACAAAAAGGCACAATACCGTGACTGGAACGATACACAAATAACCCGCACATAAAAGACAGAAGCTTACGACGACGTTTCGGTCCGACTTGGACCATTGACAAAGTCACACTAACAGAGGTGTGTGTTGTGTTTCTTACATATCCATGTTTGAAGACGATTTATAGGTATAACAATTATTATTATTATTATTATTATTATTATTATTATTATTATTATTATTATATATTTTAGTAATTCAAAATATAATGGTAATATAAATCTTCAAGAATTGGAACTTCGAGAAAGTTTAATTTACCTTAATCTACTGTGAAATAGGGCCGGGAGAGTACCGGCGAATAAAAAAAAAAACATTTTTGATCGACACCATGCCCAGTCTTTCTAGGGTAGAGTAGGTGCCTGAGCCGGAGCTTGCAGCTCACAAGACTGTCATTCCCATTAGCCCCCTTGGGGCGGGGATGGCAGACCAGAGACGCCTAGCTTCTCCCTACTAGAAGCTTGGTCCCAAAGATGAAGGGGTACTTGTGCCTCCTCCCATGGGAGACTTAGGTCTCAGACACTCCCTAGATAGGGAGCCAAGGCCGGACCACCACTTGGAAAAGGCCCGGGCCGGGAGAATACCGGCTAATCTTTAATAATAATAATAATGAGACACATTTTATTACGTGGCATTTCGCCCACCGGGCGCTACGCTTTGGGAAGAAAACCGTAGACAACGTTCCGGCTCGTCCTGAGCTATCACCAAGCCGAACAAGCTGCGATTCACCAAGCATCGTCCGAAATGCCTTTCCCAAAGTCTGGGTTATTGGTGACTTGACGTTGAAACGCACGAGTTAATATGCCATGAGAAAATACAGAGAAATGACCAGAGGGCTCTTGACCTCCGTAGCACCGGCAGGATCTGGTATACAAGAGTCCGTTCCTCAAGGTACTGTTCCCTGTATTGTTAGCGGGACCCTGTAAAGTCCTCCTCCCCCTCAAAGTACTGTTCCTCGCATTGTCAACAGTCTCCGTGTTATAATCGAGATGTCTCGATGTTGCACAGCCCCCGGGGGGGGAAAAATAGCGCAAAATGACAAATTTCCCCTGACGCGCCTCCCACTCATTTTCGTCGATTTCCCTGGGCTAATTCATTTCGAAGGCAACAGGGGAAGTCCTCCCCGTAATTCCTCGCTTTTTTCCCCAGGCACTGTTTGGGGGGGAGAAAAGGGGAAACGAAGGCAGCGGGTCAACCCCTCGTAATCACAGGAAGTCGGGGGAAGGGGAAAAAAAGCCAATCAGATTCTTAGTAAAAAATTCATTATTGAATATCCTTTTGTGGTCTGGTTTTTTTGTAGTAGTGTATATTAGTATATAAATTTTTTAATTCCCGCCCCATATTCCCCCTCCTGTGTGTATCAAAAACTCTATTTAAAGTTAAAGTTGATTTACAGATGAATGTAATATCTTTTTTTTTATTTTTCCTTCATACTAACTGGCCCACTAAACCAACATTTTGATAGGGGGGAAGAAGCGACACAGGTCATAAAATAAGATTTTAGGTTGGGTAAATGGACATGAGAAACAAATTCAAAAATTTATTGTAAAAGTGAAACTTTTCCCTAAATGTGATAATATTGTATTTGTATCTTTTTTAACTTTTGGTGGGTTAATTCTACCATTTTTTTACTGAGATTTTAAAAGAACGTTTCACTCTGTAGTTTTATAAATTTTTTTCTTCATGAGCTCTACACACACACTCAGAAAAAACGTTGTCCTCATGTGTAGGCATCGTAATGAAGGAAAAACACTCAGAGTATTGCCAAAAAACCCGAGGTCGGCTCTATATTGAACAAGGAACCCCCACTGCGACTCGGAGGGGGAGTTTCATTTTCCCTTAGAAAAATAAACAAAAGATTTTTCTGTGATTTTTGCTGCCGAGAATCAACTTCCCTCTCGTAACCTCGGCTAACATTTCCCTTTATCTGTAGCTCACCCTCCCGATAACCAGGATTGTTCAACACCCTCAAGAGGCGAAAGCTTTTGGATCAAGTTTTTTTAAAACCACGGCAGCTGTTGCTTTGCCCCAGGAGATCTGTTTGTGACTAGATAAATCCCACTGTCTAAGCTGCATTTGTGTCTCCATTGTTGTTCCACAACTACGAAATATTCCCAAGCAACGCACCAGACAGAAGTTCGTTACCTGTGTACCGTGGAGCAGGTGACCAAAACAACATGTCACCAAAGCTTCCCGACAATCAATAACTACCGTGACGGGGATAATCAGACCTCCTAGACAATCACCTCTATCGCACAACAATATGTACCCCATTACTCTCCAATTATCAGGGATTATTTGCCGCTAAATGTATGACGCGAGCGGTATGAATTATCAAGTTAATAATTGCAGCCAAAACAAGAGAATAATCGGATCTGTGAACGGTAGCAAAGAGGGACAACACAAGGCTATACAAAGAGTGGGACTTACAGAGGAAATTTACCCTTTGGTTACTTTTTAAAAGGTTTGAAGCCTACGATCACGCTGCATGGGAAGTGCGACGTCACAGAAACAATAAATGGTACCTTTATATTCATATAAACCGAGATATACATTTTTTCAGGCGTTTATATATATCGACGCTTCCGAAATAAACATGAAGCAGAAAAAATCGATTGGAGCAAATAAAGAAAACAACAAAAAAAAGCTAAAAATGAAGTAAAATTAAACAAAAAAAAAAAATTAAAGAAAATGAAGCAAAATAAAAAAAAAAAAAGCAAATAAAGAGGGAAAAAAAAAAAGCAAAATTAAAAAAAAAATCAAAACCCAAAACGAAAAAAATCTAAACATAAAAAATAAAGCAAAATAAAGTAAGTTAAA